GGAATTTTCCTCTCAGAGAACGCACAGGCGAACACACTTTCCAACACTAGTGCCGATGAGCCAGGTGACGGAGCCATAAACAGGACAACATCCGACACAAGTGATGTGATTTCAGCAGATTACGACCCGCATGCCGACCGTCAAGCCATTAGTGCAGCAGAGAGCAAACATGGTCGATGAAGTGGGGGCCGCTTAATGTCATATGTTTGCAGTAATCTAGTGACTGCATCCTATAAATCCTACATCTCCATATATATGAAATTGCCGTATGTGATGCCGTGTCCGAAGGTGGGTGCAGGCTGGAATATGAGATGTCTGCGGACTAAGGTTTTTGTCCCGGCTACCGCATCTACTCCTTCTCAATTTCTTTCCAGGACTCGCGTTTTCGTTTGTTTCGGCAAGAAAGAAACTCGCATTTCTGCCATATTTTTGTCTTTTTACTCTAAACAGGTGCTGGGAGTGACAACACAATTTGAGAGGTGCGTAAACGAGCGGAGAACTAGTAATCCGAGGTTATTGCTTCAATATCTAGTGAGATGGGATGTGGCAAGCAACTTAAATCCTTACCCAAGCATTCACCTCAACCTTAAGCTTTTACCCAATCATGAACGGGAGCCTACCCGCAATTGTTTTGTAAGTCGATCCAAAACCATAAACTTGACATAAAATCTCCACGTAAATTAAATAAGTACGCACGTTGTAGTAATAAAATATACGATAAGATTTCGATTATAGCGGACATCTTTTGACTGACAGAGCGAATGAGATAGCGGAGCTGGCTGTCTTTTCTGAGCTGAAATGTATAGCATTCCTTCTGGGGTACTAACGATGGAGACGGAATTGTACACAAATTGTTCCGAAAGAAAAATTTACCTGCGTTTTAAAGGAACTTGATTATGGTGGCCGCAGAGATCAAGAACAATTTTGGTAGTTCTGTTATCGAAAATCTTTTTTGCTCAACATTTTCAGTCAAATTTAACTGTTTCTGTCCTGTATAAACAGTTCTCTATGAAAAATTTTTTCCCAGGAAGAAATGTGTAACAAGCATATATGGCAGAATTTATTTGATCAAACGAATTTCGTGACTGCTCATCAGCTGCAACCTGTCTTTGCATGGGATGAATAACAAGTGGATAATAGCACAATTTGAATATCTACATAATCGATAAGGCAAGATCAATTTGCGCGCAAGTGAACATCCATGTTATTTCCTCCCCTCAAATTTCCGCCCCTTCCCTAGTTAAGTTGACAATATGGATGTTCATTTGCGCGCAAATTGACCTTGCTTTTATCGATTTTGCGATATTCAAATTATGCTATTATTCACTTGTTCTTCATCCCATGCAAAGACAGGCTGCAGCTGATGAGCAGTCATGCAATTTGTTTGATCGAATAAATTCTGCCGTATACGCTTGTTACAAAGTTCTCTATGAGCTGCTAAAATAACATCATAAAATTAATAGTTGAGTAAAAACATACGGTAGGGAGAAATTCCACCTCCAAATTATGTCATTTAATAAAAGTGGTAAAAAGTTCATTTCCAGAACGTGATCCATGGTTATGTAGAGGATTCTAAAAACGCTACATTTCAAAAACTGTTTAACACTGAGGCTCAAAACCCTTCAACAGATGTAGACAATGATGCGGTGAACTGGCTGATTGGCCCTTGACGAAGCTTCAGTAGACAAGCTCTGTTGTGAAATGCCCACTGAAATTCTAAAATACGTTATCGATTTTAAAAGATTACTTAGGTAGGGTTTCAAGCCGAAGTACCGTACAGTCACACTCACAAAGACCTCGGTCCCGTCTGAATTCGGACGTTTGAATGAACGTTTTCAATCCGCCTGCAAAAAAATGAAATTTGTACAAAATATGTCTTAAGTAGTATAAACTTTCAGTTGTGTTCTCACGCCATTTTACAGTCAAATATACCTTAATTCTCGAATACATTTGAACCCCACCTGCTGCTATATTCGTAGTTGAGGTTTCGAAACTATAAGGTTTATATCTCTCGTGAAAGGAAAATCAACTATTTTATGTACTTTTAAGGAAAATCATTTAGGGTCCAGCGAGCAGAAGGAAACTCTTTCAAACACCGAGATCCTGAAGTGACTGAAACAGCTGGGGATTTTACTGCAAATTGAACAATATTACGGCCCTTCTTAATTAATTTTTATACACGAAATTGAATCAAATCGAACAAGAAATAAATTTTTGGAATTTAGAGTTAATTAAATTACAATTAATCAAATTTTAATTAATTAAAGTAAAGCAAATTTTAGAATTTATGTGATAATGTTATGGAAAAACACAACTACTGTAATTACTAGCCTCGAAATATATGCGCGGATGTTGGTTCTACTAAAAACAAATTGGACGCGTCTGATAGATAAAAAAATGCGATTTAGTTTTGGAGTTCCAGTGAATCGGGTCAAGAAACTTCTTCTTGCTAAACCGCATTATAGATGATCTATCCCAGAGCTCTTTTCTTCGAGCAGCTACAATATATGACCCACTGGAGATTAGATATCTCATGAAATGTCAACCGAAATATTGAAATATATTTTTATTTCGCAAGTAAATTTCTAAAATTAATTATCTTGCAGCCTAATCAGAACAAGATGGTTAATTTATTGCAGGATATAGGTTTCTGAACGGGCTTCTTTCCAAGTGCCTGGGAGAACGACATTTTGCAGAAACTGACTGCTTGTACAGTATAAATTTTTGTCATTGATTTTAAATATCTTTATTAATTAAATGTCATTTTACAGGCAAAACTTGAGAAAAGTTATTTGCTATAAATTGAGTAAGTAAGTAAGTAAGGATAGTCTTGTGAATATTTTCTGCAACATATGCTTGCGTATATAAGCGACTCGAAGGTTGTCCAATAGTTGGCATCCTGACGGCACTAAAGTATCGTGGGATCATTCTGCTCGATAGTAAGTAATACAACTCTGCCTAATTTATCTCTGAATAGGCACTCTTATGATTGAGAGGAGGCATCCATTAGTTGTTCTGAAACAGCAGGATTAATTGTACTTGATGCGGACGTGGCTGTGCTGGTCGCCATGGGGTGCGTATGCAGTTTTTTAGTAGCGGCGGGTCCCGTTTTGATTCCAGCTAACCTTACGCCCCTAGAATGCGAATGCGAACGCGAACGCAAACCGCTGAACACCGAATAACGGACAGTTTTAAACTGTCCCGGATTGCTTCGGAACTACGAAGGTACAAAGATAGTCCTCCAAGCATCGTCAGAAGACCCGTTTTGAAGACTATAAATCCTACCGTCTTAATTTTTGTTAAACTACGTTGACGCCCCCACAGTTTAAGCCACCACTCAGGACCAAGATAATAACCGGTAGGAAGTTTGTGCGGGATGTAGGATCTCCGGCAAATGAAGGCTGATATGGGATACTTTTGCAGAACAATTGTTTCGGACAACTGCAAATTATTAGGCCAACTATGAACCTTTACTCCTCTCATTTAACTTTAGGGTAGGACTGTCGAATCGGCTCTGGGACATTGCCGAACAGAAGTCAGACAGTGTCAAGTTTAAAATATTCTCCCCTGATGGTGAGGACGGTTTTCCTGGCAACCTGACCGTATACGTGACCTATCGGATTAGTGTCAGCTCTGAGGAGCGAATCGAGTTATCCATCGACTACTTTGCCAGTGTGGCGGACGCCATTTGCCCGCTGAATCTGACCAATCACACTTACTTCAATCTGGCGGGACACCGCGCGGGGCCAGAGGCCCTCGACCGACATATCGCCTGCATAGCGGCGGACCGGATGCTAGAGACAGAACCCGATCTCTTCCCAACAGGTCGAATTCAAAAGGCAGGCAAAGTGGACGGCACGGATCTGCGCAAACCGACTGGTCTGAAAGAAGGTTTGCGCAAGATCCATCCAGCACCATTTCATGGTTACGATGACTACTACATCTTTAATCAAATTCCTGATGAGGAGGCCAAGATGAGTGTCTCGGAGCCTAACTCTGGTCGGCGAGTTGAGGTCTTCACTGACCAGCCGGGAGTCCAATTCTACACCGGCAACTGTCTGGACCCTAAGACCGATCCCACGGGCAAAGATGGCTACAGTTACCAACCTCACAGCGGATTCTGCATGGAGTTGCAGGGGTTTCCGGATGCAGTGAATAGGTCCAACTTCCCAAAGAACTTTGTCCTTCCAAATGGCAAGCCCTACATTCAGAAGACAAAGTTTGTATTCTCCTTTTAATGCTACAGCGGCTGCTTAACCACAAAGTCTGCCAAATAACCTTGCAGCAGTTTCTAAAACTGTCTGACATGATTTGGCCTGCTTCAAATGCTTTGTTGACAGTGGCGTAACGCATTTTCCCTCTGGGCAGAAAAAAGAGTACACATCTTGCCCAAAGCTAGTCGACGAAGGAGACAAGCCTAGATTTTAAAACTGCAGCAACTCACCACATTTCTAAAACCCCGTTAAATACTCAAGAGCATAGCTGGAAAACATCTATCTACAAACATTTTCAAAGTAACTAGTACTGTTAAGTTTTATTCACGGTTAGATGTCGCTTCAAAGGATCTGTCCCCTCTTCGTTTGTTCAAGGACATTGCCCAATTTGATCCTGCACATAACAATAATTATCCTCCATAGTTTGTGGCCTCGCAAAGCCTATAATGTGGTGCGTCTGTGTAGTTCTATTCCTCCTGAAATATTTGTCTTCTTAATGGGTTACAATAAAAAAATGAATCTACCTCGTAAGTTCACTTCAGTTTATTTGAGATAAATGCAGCAAATACGCGTAGTTCTATAAAAAAATAAATGTTGGAAAACATATGCTTTCGGCAATTCATCAGCGGGCCAGTACAATGCAAGGATAGAAATGGTCAGT